CGGAGGACAGAAAATACCGTGTGAGACGCTGGAAACGTTGCAGGGTACAAGGCAACGCGGAGAGGCACTCGTGCACTGGCGAGAGGCGAGCGTACGGACCGTCGGACGGACGGAGGACGCCGTTGACGCCGGGTATACGGCGGGCGAGGGAGCGAGAGGCCTGTCCGCGGGCGGTGGGGAAGAGAGCGCGCGGCATAGCGGCGCCCGCGGTCAGGAGCGAGAGGGCGAGCGGTGTGCGGCGGAGAAAGAGACCCCATTCATCTTGGCGCGCCTAGCCCGGCCGGGATTGGCCCGCCTCCGGTGAGGCCGCGCCGCGATTGGACGGCGGTGTTTACCAGCTGGTACCCCGGCGCTGCTCCGGTACTCCCGGGCCGTAGAGGGGGGAACAGAACGGAGAGACAAGCGGCGCCATTATTGTAAGGGGTTACATTTAGCTGGCCGTGGGTTGTAGTACGCGGCGTTCGGGATAGGGGGCTATAGTACCTTCATGCATGGCCCATAAAGGATTCGTCGACTATCCGAGAAGTACGCAAGAAACGGCTTCTAACACCTGACAGGGGCCACGCTCTTCTCTTCTCTCTCCTCGTGCCGTCGCCGGGTTCACCGTCGCCCAATTTCCGAGCCTGGGACCACGGATTGGGTGGGCCCGGCGAGAAGAAGGACCCGGTGCGCGCGGCCGCCCTTTATCGCCGATTTTTCTCCCGATACCCGGATGGATTGGTAATCACGCCGAGGGGGCCGAGGGAGCGGCAGGATTGAAATTTCGCGACGCGACGCCAAGATCACACACACTCACCGAATCTCACTCCCGGCGATCGCGGAGAGGAGGGACATGCCATTTGCGATCGCGGACGGCCGGTGATTCGTGGTCAGTCGTCCCCGGTCACCGCATCCCGCCGCGTTCGGTATTGTTATTGTGATAATGTGCCGTAGTTGCGTAAGTGGCAGTAAAAGTGGACCTTGATCGCCGTGGACCCGGAAAGAAGCGATAAAGCGCCAGACGGAAGGGATTACTCCGAGGTTCCTTCGCCAAGTTTATCCGAGAGAGAGAGAGAGAGAGAGAGAGAGATTTCCCCGAGAGTGTGTTGCCGGTGTGATCCGCGGCTCGCGAGACGGATTACGCTCGAGGGAGACGATGAGGCGGCAGCAGCAACACCAGCAGCAGCAGCAGCAGTGGCAACAACAGCGGCAACAACAGCAGCAGCAGCAGCAGCGGCAGCCGGCGGACGTGTCGCCACGGTGTCGGTGTTGAGACACTCGTCCCGGTCGTCCGGCCCGGGCGTGTCTTCGGCATCGGCTCCACATCGGCACCGACAGGCGATATGAGTACGAAATTCATAATTGATAGTATGCTACCTGCTAAGTACCAACAATTCCACCCGCAACAGTTGTTCTCAAGCGCGGCACCAGGTACCATTCAGGCGTGCACGACCAGCCCGGCCACCGCGAGCCTAGAATCGAGTCTATCCGCGGCTGCAGTTGCGGCCGCGGCGGTCAATTACGCACAGCAGCACAACTCGCCGAGCCCGACGGGTTCGAGTCCCCAGCACTCGGGAAGCTCCGCGTCCACGTCACCGGCGGCGCGCACCAGCATGTATCCGTACGTGTCCGCCGCAGCGGCGCACCATCATCACCAGCAGCAGCAGGCGGTCGCGGCCGCCGCGTTCGGCGCCACGTCGAGCATGGTGCCCGGCTTCGGCTCCTCCGCGGCCTCGAGCGCAGCCCTCGCCGCCGCCGCCGCCGTCGACGCCGCCACCGCCGGCGACAAGTCCTGCCGTTACACGGCCAGCCTCACCGGCAACGTCACCCCCGCGTCGGCCGATCCCATGGTTAACTACACCCTCGGCCACCATCACCAGAACGGCGCTACGCCCGGTAGCCTCGTCTCCTCCGCGTCGGCATCCTCGGCCGTCTCGGCCGCCTCCGCCTCCATGGCAGCGGCGGCACAGTTCTACCATCAGGCGGCCGCCGCCTCGGCCGTCGTCGATCCCTTGACGTCCTGCCAACAGCCCACCACCGGCCAGCCCGGCATCTCGGACATACCTCGGTACCCATGGATGTCCATTACCGGTGAGTCCCTCTTCGATGTCTTCAAGGGCTTTCTTCTTTTTTTCTACCCCCCTCTTTCCTTTACCCTTTTGCCGGCATTCATCGCCGTTCAACGACGTAACGCATCGTGCCGGCCGTCACGGCTCATCATCGTTATTGCTTGTCCGCATGGGTGACGGTCTCTAGAAGCGAACTTGGGATAAAGTTTTCACGAAACGTACTTTGGACGCTTAGCTTCTCTCGGCCAATCCATTTTCGACTCGATTTCGGTTTCTCCAGCCAAACGTTCCTTCACGGTTCTATGTATTATTGCACGGACGATTGCCGTAGCTCTATTTGAATTTTACATATCATTTCTGTCTCATTGACAGATGTTTATTTCGATTATTTAAATGTGAAAGTGGCATCTCGATAATAGATTCAACATTGCCTTATCTATGTTTTTATATTGCATGACTGAAAGGAAAAGTACCTGAGGGATGATCGCATGAAACTTTCTGCATGACAAGAGACAATAGACGTGTCGCAACTTTAATCGAATAGTATAAAGAGATATGAATGGAGAAGCAATTACAACTATTGTATTATACTTATTAAATATGGTAATGTTGATGCATAATTTGCCCAATTCTAATTTATAAAATTACACTGCAAAACATGATAGGGAATTGCAGATCATTTTATTTCAAATGTATTTGAGAAAGGTTGAATTTTTACTATGCGTTTCTCTCTTCTCAAATTACAAATTAAATATGTAAATATTTTATATGATTTGCCAGCGGAGAAAGGGGTGGAAACGATACCTTTCCAAGGACTCCTGTAATTTTCAGCGAGCTTCGCTGTAATTGCGTCGAGGATCGTGGTTAACGGTTTATTTGTTATAAAACATTGCAAGCACGAACATATAAATATTGCACGCTCCTCTGAGGAAAGCTACGTACGTTAATACTGTGCGCTGTTTCATATCGCTCCCGCTTACACGCGTTTTCGATGAAGATTGTTGATACTAGAGGACTGTGGCCAGCCATTTTATAATCTTACACATACACACGCTAGAAGCGCGTGCAAACATGAGCGGAATGTTTCGGAAATTTCGGTGTCTATACGAGTACATTCCACAATTTTAAGGATGAAAAAGGGTTGTAAGAATAAAGAGCGAGAACGAGGGGGAGAGAGAATCACAGAATCAGAATCGTCATTTATTAAACGCTCTGGGACGAGTCCCCTCAAGACACTTTTACATGGCAAAACAATAAGCTAGACATTTAATGTTTAGAATCATACATGACGCAGTAAATATACGAAAGAAAGTAAAAAGAAAGAAAGTAAGATATGATAATATAAACAGGTATTGTAATACCGAGACTCATTGCATTAGGCATTCAATTAAGAGGCATAATATCGTTGATGTCTCTCAATTGTAACAAGAAGGCAAGTAGCTTGAACTTAAAGAGAGAGAGAGAGAGAGAGAGAGAGAGAGAGAGAGAGAGAGAGAGAGAGAGAGAGAGAAAAACCCAACGGCTTTCCTTACTAATATACACATGAGAAGAGTAAAGAAATTCTCTGCTAATATCCGCACTATTTTAGAAATTACATAATACCGTAGCAGCCTCGCTGCGCGTTGCTGACGAAAATAATTTGCATTGTAATTTGAAATGTAACGAGCGATGTTCGAGGAATGAACAGCAGCTCGAAGAACGGTCGGACTGGTAGTAGTCGCCTGTTGTTATCCGCGCGAAACTCGGCAAGTTGTTCCGATGTCGCGCATAATACATCGTACACCTCGTGTGAGCCTCGCCGAAGCGTGTCTTTGTCCGCCGGGAGGCGTTAGCTCCGGGACAAAGCGCCGACGGTGTTTATCGCGGATATTTGCGGCGGACGACGGGCCCGGGCTTGTTGTCGCGTCGCGGCTCGACGCGCCGCGAAAGCTGCGCACATTTTTGCGGTAACGCGAAACGGGCACGTTTCCGCCGCTCTTTCCTCGCGTTCGATATTGTTGTGACAATGTAACCAGCGCGCGACACGACTCCGAGAAGTTCCGCGTGAAGGAAAAGGGGGTCCCTCGGTGGACGCCGGCCGACCCGCGCGCGTCCATCCGCGGGTTCCCCTTGACGCGCGAACAGCGTGGCCGATTGCCTACGGATTAGATCTGTCCTCCTGGATGCATTTCGCGGGTCACCGGCCCAACTCCAACTCGCGACAGTCGCCGCGCGCTTGTCGCACATTCGGATCGCGTTCGCCACCGTGCGGCACCGACTTGCTCCGGTTTCACCAAACGTCGTTTAACTCCAATCTTAGTTTAATTCACCTTCGTCTCTCTTTCTAAAGTAACAGTTGGAAGGAGACAAATAATGAATTAAGCTGAGCTTAAAGTCGAACAACGTTGGTGAAACCCCGGCCCTCAGTTGAGATTCGTGCAACGAACATGGTAAAATGTACTACTCCGTTTTTTTATCCAGTTCTAAGTTATTTATCACGTATTTATAATAAAATTTCTCTGAGATTGCTCGCACCATCTCTCTCTCTCTCTCTCTCTCTCTCTCTCTCTCTCTCTCTCTCTCTCCCCCGCGCGCGCGCGCGCGCTTGCGTTTGCGCCAATGTATTTGCGCTAACACGTAGTAATATAATACAAGGCATACGCACGGGGCGGGGGATCGCGGAATATATTGCGATTAAGTTGTAATCTTTGAATATGCAAATTATTTTCCGAAGCCCGTTCCGCTATCAACACGTTATAATAATACTTGACGTTAACGTGTTAACTTTCCGTTGCGCCAACTCGTGGGGTCCTGCGTTACATCCCGTCGCGAATCACGCTCGCTGTTAATTTCTAACGCGCGTGGCGACGGCGCTGATTAGTGACACGTTTCACAATTACACATACCTTCGGCTTGCTTATTATTGTTATTATTATTGTAACGCGTTTCCGCGAAGGGCAAGTGACGATTAAATTGGCCCACTCCGGTCTCGTCGGTCCTCGCCATATCAACTCCTGTGTTTACGTCGATGTTATCTACGAGGCTAAATCGCGCTTTCATAAATTACGCGCCGACTATCTCCTATAATTGATTTTCCCGCGTCCGCGGCTCCGCGGAATAATCTAATTTCACATTCTTCCTGCCAATTCAACGTGCCGTTTTACTCGATCCCGTAAAGCTGGCTCAGTTATCAAATGCTGTCACGTCGCATTTAAACTTACAACATTTACAGCGTTATCTAATGCCTCGTTAATGTTCCTCGCGCGTTCTAAACGAATTAACAATTTGACATCGCGCTCCGTCGCGGTGAATTTGATTTGTTTCCACTTTTACAGTTGAAGTACCTCCAGCCTCTCTGAAGGGTTCACAGTTTTTTCTATTTCGAGCACTTTCACTGTCGCATAGCTGTTCGTGCGTCAATAAGTTTCTTATCTATTTCGTGAGTATGCAAGAATAGCCGTGTGTCTCTTGCGAAGGGAGGTGAATGATTCAGGCGACGATGTAGCGTGACGATTCTAATTCTTTTCAGCGAGGCTGCAGTCGGGTTAAAATCACGTCGACCACTTGTAGGTCCACGCTTTCCTCTTTTCAATGATTAATATTATTTTTCGAATATCTCGATTTATTCAATTCTAGTTTAATTGCGAACAACGAGACGGTGGTATGCGACAATGCTACATTTGTATACCTTAATTTGTGTATCGTAAAGCAGCGACCTGCAGTTCTTTCGCAGATTATTTTACTATTAGATTGACACACGTTGCTACGCAGTGAATATATCAATCGCGCGAATATTCAGCTGATTCGAATATCCGTCGACACTTATCTCAGCGGAGATATATTTTTTTAAGACATTTTTTAATCCAGAGGGTCAACGGCAACCGCGAGGACTCTCGCAAATTATTACATGCCGAATCAACTTTATCTGCCGCCCCCTAATCTTTGACACCGCCGACCGTTTAATGTTTTCCTTTTAAATTGTAAGAGTTACACCACCTCTTTCTCCGGACTTTCTGTTTCCTGTTATTGCAGCGTTTTGTACACGTGATTTTTTATGTATTAATACGCGCATTTGAATCATAAAATCCCGCGAGTCTATTGTAACACGCTTGAGGAACCGTGCCCTGTGTTATGTGAAGCTTATCTCAAATGCATGCGTAGTTTTATAGCTTTAAACTGCGCATGAAGCTGATTTACATTATCCCACTTGACAACGTAAGAAAGAAGGTGAAAGATAATTGCCCGAGCGTTCGATAATTTTGTACGGATGTTGTAAGAAACGTTTTTATTTTCCAGATTGGATGAGTCCATTTGACAGAGTGGTGTGCGGTGAGTACGAATTTACTGCTTAATCGGAATGCTTTTACCCTGTTACTTGTGTATAATACACGCACACATGTGAAATATATTCCATATTTCTGTAAATATACTTAAGGGAAAAGAGCAGGTTTTTACGTGCATTCGGGACATTTGCAACGAAAGGGTAAACTTTGCAGATTTAATTGTGACAAACGACGTTGTATCATTTAACAAACTGCGAAACGAGCACTTTTATGTCAGTTACGAGGAAAGGGCGATCTATTTTACATTACCTTGAAAATATTACCGTGCGTAAATGGTAATCGGGAAGATAAGTTTTGCAATGTGAGATCCACAACGTCGATCTCGAGGTCTGAGAGAAGACCGGGGGGGAAACGACTCTTCCTAAAATCACGCTCCATATGCTAGTCGCATTTCTCTCTTCAGTTTAACGCGTAGAGGCGACACTTGTAGTTGAATGGGACGTTACACGCCTGTTTCCTTTCGTCCGAAGGCAACGATTGGTCCTTTCCCCAAGCTTCAACGATGACTTTGTCCAGACACGTATTGTATTTGCCAAATTAGAAATACAAATAGCGTTTCGTAACGCTGTGCGATTACGCTGCCGTCGATCGGTCGATTAGGCTCAACTAATAGCCATCGGGCCGCGATGTAAAAAGTGATGTAATCCCAAGCGTGCCGAGGTGTCAAGGTCATCGTTCGGATCATTTACGTGAATCGCGCTACCGGGCGGCACACGCCAAGTCCTTACCCTATTCATTTATGTTAGTTGCGCATGCAAGAAGGACATGTATATGGGCAACTACACCTGTCGTCGCCGTGATAATGTTAGCCGCGAATAATCTCCCTGACTATCTTTTATACGGCCACTTACGAGCCCACAATAGCGCGGTAAATACCGATTAGATAAAATTAAAACTCCAGCCGGCTGCTTTTATCGCGATGGTTTGTTTACATCAGCCGGATCATAATTTCAAATAGGCATCGCCGATCACCGCGCCGAGTCCCCAACTGCGCGCGAGGCAACCGCCGAGTTCGGTAGGAAATCGCATTCCGATTCGTTACACGCTCAAACGCGGAATATATCTATTTCTGCATATGCGCAATCGGTCGATGAATCAGAACGCCGTTCGCCGTTATACGTTTATGCGTCCAGCTGTTCCTTGCTAATCGCGCGGCACCGGCAATCCCCGTGTATTTCAAGTTACGCCGTTGCCGGCAAGCGGGAACTGTACTATTTTATTAATGTCGGTTAGCACATTCGATGCATTTTGCATATCGATAACGTATAGTGGTGAATAAAATATCACGACGATTACCAAGCGTTTAAATAACAATACACGCAAAAGAATGGAAAGGAGTGAAAATAAATGGAATACTAAAGATTCGAATCACCGGTGGATACACGATTTTAATATATTACAATGTTAATTGGGCTATTTAAGGTAGTTGTTCCGCGACAGTAATGCTTAAAAGTTTCTTCCACACAGGAACCGGCACTCAATTATCACAATGATGCAATATTATTCCAAAGAATACCCTTACGATTAATACATAATATAAAATAGATTCGAAAGATTATAGTTTCAGGCGCTATTGCCACATCTCTTACACTATATCGTGTCTACTACACAATTTTTTTCTCATTTTTCAGTTTTAACCGTTTATATTGTTGAAACGGGACGGTCAATAATTTTTATTTATACTTTGACACTTATACTTTGACTGATCCCTTCTATATCTGCCAATATGGAATAGGATTGAGAAAAACGGAATTTTAAACAACAGTGACGAAATGAAATTGATCTCTCCACGAGAAATGGGATTGTTCTGACTTTCAAGTAAGCGATAACACATAAAAATCAGCATAGTTCTAGACGCCAAAGATTTTATAATTGCACAGACCATATGTTGACATGTAATATTTAATTTTCTAATTATAGTTTATACAAACAAACTCTGAAGAAGACAAAGTAATGTCGAAACGTTCGTTACACATCGTTATATATACCGTTAGATTAGTAACTAATTTATATGTTAAGACTAATATGATAACACATAAATATTTAAAATCTTTTAAAATCATCATTGCTCGTGAATCTATTTGGCCTATTTTAATTTAAATTCAATAAGTTTCATTTTCTTTCCAGTTATTCGTTCTATTTTACTTTATGACATATTTGTTTCTCGTACGAGTCTCACTCACCGTTAAGCTTAAAACAAAAATGTGCCATCATTTGCGGTTACAAACGCAAATATTAATATTTTAGCACATAATAATACGTGTAATTAATTTAATATTTCACGTGTAATAATATTACAACGAATTATATTGTTACGTGTAATAATTATTTCGTGTAACATAGCAAACTTTAACATTTTCTCTCAGAACTTTGAGACGGTCAATTTTAATTTAATCAGTCTTATTTTGCACGTATTAATGTAAAGAATAAACTGTAAAAATTTGAAACAAATCTCGCATAAATGATTTTACGAAATAACTACCTTAAAGCAAAGAAGGAGAACGTCAACGACGTGCCATTTTTCTTGTGGAAAGTAATCTCCATATCTGGTAAACATTCGTTTCAAAGGCTCGCTTAATTTCCCAACTTTAGTGAAATTTTATTATTGTCGTGACGCGTGACGCATTGGTGTATCGATGAATGTCCTCCCGTTTCTCACGCGAGAGGAAAGAAATTTACGAGTGGTTTACGGACGCTTTGTAACGCTGTTACATTTGTCGCATGTATTTTAAATTCAATTCGTGTGCCCGTGTGAACCCTCTTTTTTTTCCACTCGCAGCTTAAACTCTTCGTTGTTTCCGTTGATTCGGTATATGATTAATACATGAATGCGCTACGCTCCGAGATTTAGAATCGGCTTTTTTTTTCAACTTGTCCTTCGAGATCATCCGCGTGTCTCATTAAAATTTGTAACGTTTTGGGGATACGGAGTATCCTGTAACCCTCGCGATAAAAAAAGGGAGAATGGCCAGACAACTTCACGTTGTCTTGTTTATTATTCAGTATTAACTTTCTCGCAAAGTACGTAAAAAGCTTTGTCCTTTCTCCTTGTTTCTCACGAGGGATCGCTTCCTCGCCAATTATGAATCGAGTATTATAGCGAATTCGGTCGCTTGCACCTGTTTACAGTCAATTCTTATATTTAAGAATCGTCTTAAGTATTTCTTGAAATATTTCGTAGCCGATAAAATGATCTGTATAGCATCCGTACGGATTATTTTTCGGCTAAATACCCTTTGGACATATATTTAAGACAAAGTTAAATATAAAACAAATTAATAAAATTCGTATGGCTCAGACGTGATAAACACAAATTTGAAGGAATAAAGGACTAAGGGCCGTGACAGGGTGTTAGTGCCTAAATATTTTATTCTAAATTTATTGCGAAAAATATCACCTCAGCCAGGATTTGAACCTGGACCTTAAATATAAAAATTGGGTATTAGAAATAACAGATTTAATTGTAATTCCGTCTCTTTCGTATAACGTGCACAAATCACGCTTGCGGGGCGTATTCGCGGACACTATACCAATGAAAACCGTCAGATTCGTTTGTCGCAAGCTCTTTTATTCGTAACGTGCCGCGTATACGATGGGAATGGCTTCGCATTTTCACTCGTAACAAATGCAAAATCCCTTCGGCAGCCGCGACTATTTTGCGCTCGCGAACAAAAGTCCACGCGCAACTTTTTGAGAATTTCGTTGACGCTCGGCGCAAATTAAAATTACACGGGCTAACGCGGTTACCGAATGTGGTAGCCAAGCGGAACTGCTGGCGCGGGCGATGTACGAATTTCTAATCTGTCTCTGGTACGCGAATACGCGAACATATTCTGACATTCGGGGGTTCAGAGGCCTGCGAATGTCTAGCTGGATTACGGTGTGTACACGGGGACTAGCGGGAGATAATGTATAATTTATAATCAGGCCGATCCGCCGACAACGGCGCACCACTCTACGGGCAGAGTCCACTGCCCCAAAAGCCGCCAACCCCTCATTAGCATTCGATGATGGCTGCCGCGTCCTGCAGCGTCGGTATTATCCCATTTCATCGCCCCCGCCCTCCCCTACCTGAAACCTCTCTTCGTATTCCCCCGCCTCCGATCCTGTCTCCCCGTCTCTCACAGCGTAAACGTTTCCTCCCTCGCCTGGGTCGCATCAGCATCCAGCAGGTATCCGGCATTGGCTTGGAAAAAGAATAGACCCCATCGAAATTTTATCCGGGAAATTTCATCCGGAATTCTGCTTTATGCCGCGGCTCGGCGCCCGTGTTTTCCACTTTTCTATTTTACTCTCGTCGCCTCCCCCGATGCGCCATTAATATACGTACCGACGCCGAATTCTAAACTCCGCGCGGCACGTTGCCGCGGAAAGAGCGGAGTCTGGAAACGCAAGGAAAGCGTGTATTTTGAGGCGTGCCAAATCGGGGATCGAGTACAAAGCGGATCGTAAAAACTAGGCACATCTGGGGGGACGCGGTGGATCGAAAAATTCGGCAGCGCGAGGAGGGAGGGGGGAGGGTAACAATCGAAATTTTTACACTCGTCGGTGCGGCGTAATCGCTTCTGGCATCTCCCGGGGGCAGCCACGTTTCCAAAGACAGGTCAGAATCGTGTTGTCACAGAGATTATTGAAACTGCAGTTTTATGGGCCTTAAAAGCAGTTTAATTGCCGTTATATAAGTGTTTATACGCTGCCAGGTTTGGCCTCTGCCTGCGCCACCCCAAACGTTTATTTTATGGTCATACGGCGGCGGCGCGTACCCCGTTATGTCGCGTGCCGAAGCCATCACACCAGTCAAATCCTCGGGCACAGGTCGATTCCGAATATCGGCGTACGTTTACGCGACGGCCACCCTGAAACGATATATCTTATACAATGTAAGATATTCGGAAGCGGCAGCCCGACGATTTGACTGACACTTAACTTCAGGTAGGGAAGAAATTTACACCTTTCGTTTACGCTTTCACATTTTCTTTCCAAGGG